ATTGCCTGAGTCCTGGAGTTTGAATCTGCAGTGAACTGTGTGTATGCCACTGCACACCAGCCTGGGTGACAGAGTGAGACACTGGCTCAAATAACAAAGCAAACACTAAAAATCAACTAAAATGGATAAAATATTTAAACTCAAGACTTGAGAGCATGAAAGTTCTAGAAGAAAATATAGGGAAAAACTTACTTGACATTGGTCCTGGCAATGATTACTTGGCTATGATACCAAAAGCAGACTCAACAAAACAAAACAAAAAAAATGGTGTTACATCAAGTGAAATAGCTTTTTACAGCAAAGGAAACAACATAATGAAAAGGCAGCCTATAGAATGAGATATACTCAGTAACAACCCCCCCAAAAAAACCCCCAAAAAACAACTAAAAAAATAAAAAGCCAAGTACTTAAATAGATCCTCCACAAAAGAACAGACACAAATGGCCATCAGATATATAAAAAAGAGCTCAAAATCATGACTCTTTTGGGAAGTGAAAATTAAAACCTCAATGAGGTATCACATTACTTCCCACCTGTCTGGTTGGCTATTATTTAAGAAACAAAAAGATAGCAAGCGTTGGTGAAGATAAGAAGAAAATGTACAGTCATTGGCAGGAATGCAGTTGGTGCAGTCACTATGGAAAACTGTGGAGGATCCTCAAAAAGTTAAAAATAGAACTACCATATGATTCAGCAGTCCCACTAATGGGTATATAGTCAAAGGAATCGAAATCAGTATCTTGAAGAGATAGCCACATTCCCATTTCATTGCAGCATTATTCTCAATAGGCAAGACTTGAAAGTTACTTAAACGGACATTGACAGATGAATGTATAATGAAAATGTGGTGTATGCAGACAACAGCATTTATTCAGTCTTAGAAAAGAAAGAAACCCCCATTTGAGACGATACAGATGAACCTGGAATACCTTATGCTCAGTGAAATAAATCACATCCAGAAGAATAAATACTACATGATACCAATTATATGAGGAATCTAAAACAGTCCAACTAATAGAAGCAGAGAGTAGAATGTTGGTTGCCAAGGGCTGTGGGGAGAGGGAAATAGGGAGATAGTCATCAAAGGGTGATTTCAGTTATGCATGATAAGATCTAGATATGCATTTTACCACCTACTGCCTACAGTAAACAAAACTACTTGCTAAGAGGATTGATCTCATGTTAAGTGGTATTACACAAAAAATAATACACTAAAAGGGCTGGAGAAAACTTCAGGAAGTGATGGATAAGCTTATGGATATAGATTGCAGTGATGGTTTCATGGCTGTATACTTATTTCTAACCTCATAAAGTTGTACATATTAAATACACACATTTTTGTATGCCAATAAAATCTCAATAAAGTGGTTTTAAAAATATAACTACAGACATTAGCTGTGAATCAATTAAGAGGCCATCATATACTGTCATCTCTAATGGAAGCTTGAGATGTTTGGTTCAGCCTACCAAATTAATTTATTTTATACTTTCAATCAAAGAATTAGAGATAAGAAATACAATTTGATAGCAGGAGAAATGACTCACACATAGAGGAAAACTATAATCTAGACCTAATTTCCAAATACAATAGCCAGTAGTACAAGAGGCTCTTTTGATTTAAACAAAATTAAAAATTTAGTTTTTCAGTTGTACTAGCCACATTTCAAGTACTTCACAGTCACACGTGGCTAGTAGAGACTGTAGTCTATATTGGATTGGGCTGGATAAACATTGTTTTCCTTACAGAAATTTCTCTTGGATAACATTGATCCAGGCAGGCCGAGGATGCACTGGCCAGGAGCAAGCCAACACCCTCCAGCCTCAGTGAGGAGTGAGACTCCAACTCAAAACAAAAAATAAAAGGAAAGAAAAGAAGAGCAACCATTTGTGTATGAAGTTAGGATCATCATGATCAGAGATCATTGAGGAAGGAAGCTGCAGTCTTGGTTGTAGAGTTCCCGAAAGATGGTCAATCAGCAGCCAATCAGGCTGTGGCTTTGGTAGACCAAGTCAGGGGACCGCTGGAACCCGGGAGTGCGAGACCAGTCTGGGCCACCAAATGAAAAATCGCCGCTCCCCCAAATGCAAACACTGAAGTAGCTCAAGTTGATGTCCTCAGTCCCGGCTACATGGGATGTGGTGGCCTCCATCTGGGCTATTCCTTTGAGTCACCTCCGCCGACAGAACGTGTGAGTCCAGGCCGGGCAAAGTGGCTCACAGCAGTCAGCCCTGTGCCCTGGGAGTTCGAAGTGGGAGATTGACTGAGCCAGGGGTTAGAGACCAACCCAGGCTTGTGTGTAAAGTGCACTCAGGCCTTCTGGGACATGTGGCCGAAGGTGCGGGATGTACATGCCCGGTGGCCACCTTTGACATCTCCTGCAATGACAGGTGGAAAGTGGCTTTTCCTCTCACATCCTTGAGGGTGACTCCTCATGCTGGATGAAAGGGGTGGTGGTGAACACCTTTTCCTTACTTAACTCAAATATACCAATTTTTAAATTAACCAGATGCCTTTACTATAGAAAGACTTGTCCTTTATCAGAAATGAGTGCAAAGATGATGTACAGCCCTACCTAACTTCTCTGCACCCTTCCCTCTCCCAACCCTCCCTTCGAAGACTAGCTGGGCTTTTTTCCTTGCTGTCTAATTAGTCCTATATCTTTTGTATGCTAGCATGCAACTGAATGATTCCCATTATGCAGACTCCTCACAAAAGGCAAATTCCTCCTGAGGGCTATGCTGATGGGGTGCTATACCTGGATAAAATTTCCCTGGAGGCCTCACAGAGAAGAAGCTAGAAACTTAACTTTATTTCACTTTAGTGGGCTATGGAGTGCTGCACAATGCTGTGCTGGGCCCCCTCAAGGGTGGAAATCTGATTGTTCTTCCTCAAGGACCTCGATCCTCCAGTGGTTCACTTCTCTCCTCAATCTACTGGACGCTTTTCCTATTATCTTTTTTCCTTTCCATTTCCTGGGGAGTGTGTGTGTGTGTGTGTGTGTGTGTGTGTGTGTGTGTGTGTGTGTGTGTGTGTAGGTATTTGGTGTGGTGGTAGAAATCGGGGAAAAAAAAAACAAGACGGTGAGATGATGCAATTCTAACATCACCTTTCTTTATGGTTGTTTTCCACTTCAAGTCCTACTACCAGAGAATTTGAACAACACAAAAAACTGAAGCTAAAATGAACCAAAAAAATCAACATTCTGTTAACATTCTGGTGTTTATCCTAACAGTATTTTTTTCTGTGAGGCATAAATTCAGACCACACTTTACACTTTTAAATATTCAGCTTTATTAAACTTAATACTTTATTATGAAAACGTCACTGATCATCAATAGTGTTTGAAAGTATAGTTTCTTAATATAGATGTCCCATAATTTACTCAATTCCCTCAGGTTAGAGATTAAATGTGCTTCCAAAGTTTGATTAGACACAATGTGATGAATATCAGTGTACATATATTTTGTGTATCTCTCAGAGTAGTACAAAAAATGTAGTATTGAAAGGGTATTAATATACTTGATATAGCCAGGTGCAATGGCTCATGCCTGTAATCCCGGCATTTTAGGAGGCTGAGGCAAGAGAATTGTCTAAGCTCAGGGGTTTGAGACCAGCCTAAACAACATGGTGAGACCTCTTCTCTATAATAAATCAGAAAAAAAAATTAGCTGGGCATGATGGCACATGCCTGTGGTTACAGCTACTTGGAATTCTGAGGCGGAAGGATCATCTGCGCCCAGCAGGTCTAGGCTGCGGTGGCTGTGACTGTGCTACTGCACTCCAGTCTGGGTGACAGAGTGAGAATCCAATTCAGAAAAAAAGTATATATATATATATATACATACACACACACATATATATATATATATATATTTACATACTTGATATATTTCCAAACTATCTTCCAAAAAGCCTTAACAATTTATACTTCCCTATATAGAAAACATGAGTGCTTTACCTCACCTAAAACTGGGTGTTACCTTAAAAACACTTATGCTAATTTGCTAGAAAAAATAGTGTATTTTTTACTGTATTTCATTGCAGTTTTACTTTGTGTTTCTTATATTACTAATGAGGCATCACATTTTTCATGTTTATGGGGGCAGCTCTGCTTTTTTTTTGCGAAAAACACGTCCTTTGTTTATTAGATTGGGGGTGGTTTTTCCTTTGCTTTTTGTACAGTCTTCCAACTGTTTTATCAAGTCTGATTTGGGATTCTCTGATGAAGTCTTGTGAGAGCAAAGGCCATATCTGCTCATGGGAAAGTGCCAATCTGATCCCTCTTCCTTGTCTATCAGCCCTGTTCTCAAAAGCCAACCATGGCCATCAGTTACACCTTCATAGGGATCTGAATCATCTCGTCAATAAGAAGTGCAACCATTCATCTATTCATCTCTACACTATCATTAAAGATCGTAGCTTAAAATTTAAAAAGTTCATCTTTGTTATGGCATAGATTAGTGCCTGGAGGCTAAACAGAGAAGAAATAAAATTTTATAAACAGGAAAAGAAAAAAAAGGTCATAACTTTTATCAAAGGCATTTAGAGCATCAAATAGGAAATCCGGGGAGACTCTTGGGAGTGGAGCATGCCTTCCTGTCGGCTTTCTGTCTCTGAGACCAGAGCTAGAGCCCCAGGGCTGTCACCACCACCACAAATGGGCTAAATTCAAGAATGGATGACTACTCAAATCTGCTTTGGAGTTAAAACAAATAGTGGGAGAACATGAACTTGACATAATAAGACTGTACTAGGAGAAATAGTTTTAAAAGGACAATTGCAAGGAAAGTCAAAATTCAACATAAACAAAACAATCGCAAGTTGTTAACACAGCGTTCACATTCTTTGTTTTTTACTTTTCTGAAAATTCTAACGTTTCTTGTATTTACCATTCTAACTACAATTTCTCAATCAGATATTTAAAAACATATCATAGATAGTTTTAAAAATTCTCAGTTGAAAATTATTTGATTTTAAAAGAAGAATAAATAATAATTACCTTGGAAACCAGCAGTGAAATGATTTCTTTTACAGTGTTGTCGATTAGATCGTCTATTTTTGAATGGTACTGTTGCTAGATATTAAAAGACAAAAATACATTAGTTGACATGGACACAAAACTTTTGTCAGAAGTCATAAGTGCTCTAAAGCTACTAGTTATGACCTATCAGATTTACTTAAAATGATTATTTTGAACATTAAAAGAACAAAACCTTGAAAATGATCCGCCCAATCAACACTTTTTACATTGTGGTTTGAAAATTTTCCCATGTGCGCTGTTGAGTTAAGCGGCTAATGGGGTTATTATTTAGATGAATTGAGTTCTTATTCTTATTCAGGCAGAGGAATGTGAAGGATACTTTTTGTCTTCTCCTCTATAATTAAGGTGGCCGTGTATTTTTCTAAAGGGTTGGTTTAGCTGGAGAAGCGAAAAGACTAGAAAAAGATTTAATTAATACTGCATTTCATGTCTGACAACTCTCATTCATAAGTTATTTTAAATGTGCTCTAGAAATAAAATGAGCTCCCAATTGTTCACTCTAAAAGGACCTTTTTGTCAGCACAGGGAGCCGCAGTTTATACAATTCTTACAATATGCCCAAGCAAGGGCAAAATTAAAATTTCATCAACAAAGGCGAATAGATGGTAACAAATTAACAGGCCATAAAAGGTATAATGAAACAGCACTCACTCCCCATAGTTTTATTACTACGGCCTCATGAAAAAGACGCCTTTAAATAAATACCAAAAAAAAAAAAAAAGATGTATTTAAAATAAACCTGAAAGACTTTTTTTTTTTTTTTTTAATTTCTTTAGAGACTACTAGAGGGCTCCATTCTTAAATTAGCAGGAGGTTGGGCTTCCGAGGCTTGTGAAGGCACATCCATTGGAACAGCAATTCTTCCTTTAGAAGCATTTCTCTGACAGTAGATTGTCCCCAATAGCCACTTCACAGAAAATGTGACTTGTAAAGACTAACCCTATCCTGATGGTTCAAGGCTTCTTGGAACAGCTAACAAGATGCATGGAGTAAAATAGTACTCAGGTCAGTATAAACATTAGACCAACTTAACTATGGGTTGAATGGTTTCCTAAGATGGTAAGTTTTTGAAAGCTATTTTTCTTTTCTTTTTCTGAAAACATGTCTCAAAGTTTCCACACAGAACAAAACATCAACTTTGGTCTGCTTTGGAATACTCAGGAATGACACTCCACCTCACCCTTTGGCTCTGGCAGTTACAAGTGGTCATCATTTGCTTCCATACATAATAAAGAAAGCAAGCATGATTTCGGAGTGTCTGAATTCTCTTCTTTTTCTGTGTGTGAATGTGTGAGAGTGTGAGTGTGTAATAACAAGTGGTCTGAAATCCACTGCACTTATGTGAATGTGGAACTTTCTGGGCACATACTGTACCCATCAAAGCTTGTCTGTTCCAGGTAAAGCCTTACAGATTCCCAAATTTGTGCTCCCCTGGAGGCCAAATGGAATGAAAACATAGAGAATGGGTTTCTATCACAGTAGTGCTATATATATGAATAGCTTGAAGAGAAGGAAAAGGGGAGATAACTAAAAACAAACAAACAGAAAAGGTAGAAGAAAAAAGAGCCTGACAAAGCTAGCTGATAGTTAAGGATCTGATCCAGTCTAAATTATCAATCATCTTTTGAGCCGGGCTGGCCCTCACAGGAACATAGCCGAGACCCACTGAACTACTCTAGTTCACAAGGCATGGGGTAATCCATCCATAGACACCCTTACAAAAAAGGCCCCTGCTCTGGCTGAAAGCTGAACAGCTGACTGGGTGGCGAGGAGCTTATGCAAATCACTCTGCTGGCCTCTCTCACTCAGCTCAACCCAGCCACTCTCATTTCCTTTTCACTTCAGGTCAGGGCCTGTGCAGCCAGAGGTGAATATCCACCTGAGGTTCCTCTTTGGGGAAAGGGATACAGGAGAGCAGCTTGAAGCCTCTCACTTCCTGCTCCTATGGAAGGTGCTCCAAAGCATGTAGAAGTGGGATGCCCAGACCTCCGCCAGGCTCTTATGTGGGCCCTGTCCTCAATGCTTATCTCTATTTGTCAAAGATTTCATTTTTAACTCAGAGTAATCAAATATCTTCAGAAAGCAATTGGATATAAAAGTAGAAGCTCTACAGGTTAAACTTTTGGGGTTGAACTGATTCCAGTCACTCTGAAATTCAAATGAGTCACTAAAGAGGTCATTTATACTCGTTTTACTAAAAAGCAGAGAAAGTCAATGGACTCTAGGAGTCATAATATTCTCCTATAACACACACCTTTAGATTGCTTTCTTTGATACCTGATCTAACCATAAACAAAAAGAGAAAAAGAGGAAAGGGCGGGGAAGAAGGAGAATGTATGAACAAAGACAAATACATACGAAGGCGAAAAAGAAAAGAACATTGTTAACTGTAATACCCAAGGGGCAAAGTCAAATAGTATGAGGTTTGTTAGTTTTTTGTTTCTGTTTTTGAGACAAGGTCTCACTCTGTCACATAGGCTAGAGTGCAGTGGTCTGATTGTAGTTCACTGTAATTCACTCAAATTTCTGTGCTCAGGGATCCTCTTGCCTTCGCCTTCCAAACAGCTAGGACTACAGGCGCCACCACACCTGGGTAATTAAAAAAATTTTTTTTTGTGTTTGTGTAGAGATGGTGTCTCACTTTGTTGCCTAAGCTAGTTTCAAACTCCTGGGCTCAATTGATCCTCCTGCTGTAGCCTCCCAAAGCACTGGGATCACAGGCATGAGCCATTGTGCCTGGCCCATTAGGTTTTTATAATATGGGAGTCTATTGTAAATGTATCTGATTAAATCTGACTTACACTAATATTAAAACTGCCAGGCACTTTCAGAATCTACTCGGGTTGCACAGTTGGTAGAGATGGCCTAGGAACATGGGTGCGAGTGTGGAGATGGCCTGAGAATTTCTATTTCATATACATTCTGCAAAGACAATCACACACACATGCCACATGTAGGTCATAAAAAGTCAGGAAAAGTTATTCATTTGGGGACTGAGAGTGCTTTCAAAGACAAACACCAAAAAGAGATTACCAGGCAGGTAAAAATAGAATTTATCTATACAGACTAGGCCTTTGGTAGATTCCAACTCATTCTTAAGCTACATCTTCCACATCTGCTCTCAAAAGCAAACTGCTTGGGCCCTGCTTTTCCAGCAGATGACTCTGGACTTCATGCAGCCCAGGGGAATCGAGAGGTCAGGCATCATTTCATCTGACTGCTCTCATGCAAACACACGAGAAGTAAAGACTAATCAAACGCCAGGGTGATCTAGTGTCCTTAAAGTATTTAGAACCTTGTATTGGGATACATTATAAAGGTAACAGATTGCTAGTTCTAGACATTTTACTTTTGCTGAGAACAGATTCTGCACAAGGAGGGCTCCCTGCTCCCCTGAGTTACATTAATGTGTTTTTACCCTCATCCCCATCCCATGGGACCATGGGATGAAATGGCTGTGGGGGCAGACAGATGCCTACAGCCCATGCAGTGATCTGCTTTTGTGCAGTTATGGATAACGAGGATTCTCAAAACTGCGGTGGTTTTGTGATCTCAACATCTGTCCCAGAGGGACTAGTCTGAGATTGCTGACTCATTATACACAGCTGTCACATGAGCGGATCATTCACTCACTAATCACCCCATTAAACCCTATCCCGAGCCTCAGCAGAGCATGTTTGCATCATCATGTGGCATGTAAGAAAACAGAATTGTAATTTAGAAGCACAGAAGGAACTGCATTGTGAATAGGAGTCAGGAAAGGTTTATCCCAGAGATGACAATAGAACAAATTTACTAGAGACTTGGGAGAGATCATTTTCATATAATTAAAAAAAATTGCTGCTATGTTTAACTATGTAGTATATATTTTTACATGGTGCCGAATTGTCTAATAATCTAGTCTTTTTTTTGAGTTGGAGTCTCACTCAGTCGCCCAGACTGGAGTGCAGTGGCCGGGGCAGCCTCGCCTGCTGGGCTCCAGCGATCCTTCCGCCTCAGCCTTCCGAGTAGCCAGAATTACAGGCATGCGCTACCACGCCCGGCTGATTTTTTGATTTATTGTAGAGATGTAATCTCCACTTGAAATAGTGGAAATTGCCCCAAACAATTTCTCCAGATGCAAGATGGAGACCATTAACTCTAGAAATGATATACATATAACTAAGAGACGTACCATAGAGCTGGTTACATTATTGTATTATTTAACAAATGTTAATTACTTAATATTTATTAAATATTAGCTATATATTTAATACATGCTAACAAGAAATGTTTCTGATGAAATATGGGTAGATCTAACATGAATGTTGTCATGTAGTCAATTCAAGAACATGTAATGTCATGTGCTCATTTATTTTTCAAATATTCAAAACTCATGGTTTAGCAAGTTACTGGTTCATTATTAGCAAATGCTAAAAATGGCAACTTTAGACCCATAGTCTTTAACTTTGTAGATACTTTTGCTAAAGCATCATTTCTCCATATATCCCCACCCAATAAATCACACAGTGTGTAGAATGGTATATTCGAGGAGAGGAGCGGGAATAGCCTAATTTAGACCTGAAATGACCAAAACTTACTTAACAATATGCTTAGGCTAATGACGGCTAAAACAAAAACTAATCAGTTGCCAACATACATTCTGGGTTGATACTGTTGGCTGATGTGCTAATCAGGAACTGCAACCCATGAGGATAGTCTGTTCATCTCCAGAAAGCACTAAGCATACACATGTTCACTAACTGGAAAG